ATCCCACCCCTTCCCAATAGCCCTCCACACCCCCACTCCACTAGCAGATCTGACAGGCCTAACTGACCACCCCCCTCTCTCCTCCCCAAAGCGACACGAAATAACTCTTCTCCATAATCTGTCTTTCACTACCGAATCTCCAAAGCCATTTGCCAAGGAGAGCACTGTTGAAAGGGGCCAATCTCCTAATCCCAAGGCCTCCCAACTGAAAAGGGCTGCAAACTTGCTCCCATCTGACAAGATGATACTTAAACTCCTCTCCATGACCCCCCCAAAGGAAGTTTCGTTGAAGCATCTCAAGTCTTCCAACAATAGAGGCTGGAATCCGAAAAAGCGAAAGAAAGTACGTTGGGAGGCTTGACAAAGTACTCTTCACTAACGTAACTTTACCACCCTTGGAGAGATATTGCTTTTTCCAACCAGCTAATCTTCTCTCGACCCGCTCAATCACCGGGTCCAAACTTCCCACCCTCCTGGCCGAGTCCCCCAGCGGCAAACCCAAACTTTGAAAGCTTTTCTAATATACTTCTTACTTATTAAAAATAAATAAAAATTAACAAGTAATGAAAAAGGGGAAAAAAAAAAAAAAAAAAAAGGATGAGGGTTTAAATTAGGGATCTACGCCTAGCCAATAAATGCACGCCTGATTGAACATTCTTGTACTAGGAAATAGCACATATTACTACTGACTAATTTCAACTCAACTGAACAAATCAAAGGTTCACCAATACAGTACCATCAATGATTCAAATCTCATCATCCGTTGGCAACGCTAGTGTATTGTATAAGAATGTTCACTTGGATATCTGGAAATACTCCTTGCTATAAGTAATAAGTAATGTTACTTATCAAAAAAAAAAAAAAGTAATGTTGCTTGCTTAGGGACAAAAAAGGGTGAGTTCTCATCATCTCATGAAAAGTAAATAGAACAGGAGAGTAAGCAAAAAGATGAACAAGGGCAAATCCAGGGACACTAGCAAATGCAACATGTATTTTCCCATCCAATTTGTACCTCACGAATACCCTTTTCCCAGCACTATTTTCGTTTAACAACCAGTAGTATAGTCAGGTTCCCATGTAGGAGCACTCCAAGAAGTTAGCATTCCACTTATTTGGCGTTTTGGTGCTTACAAAAGGATTAATTCCATGTAAGAGTATTTCGCATAGTTAACATTGATATTTCACTTATTCCTTCACTAAAATTTATAGCAATAACGCCAAGGGCTTAGCCAAAGTGATATCTCCTCCACCTCCCACATAGGAGTTTGGTGGTTCAAGCCCCCATTGGGACAGCCGGCTGTCTTATCTACCAAAAAACAAAGGTGGGTTGAGAGTTCCTCAAACTAGGCTGGATGAGTTTAATAGTGTCATCTATGATAGCAGGATGGAAGATCTTCCTATTAATAATGGTGACTCGTCTTGGTGCAACAAGTAAAACCTTCACACTAGGATTAATGCCAAGCTAGACAGAGCTTTGATAAATGATTTGTGGCTCCAACAGCTTAATGACACTAAAGTCTATCTCACAGCTGCTTCACTATCTGATCATTATGGTATGGCAATCAAATGGCATTTTGATTGTTCAGAAGGCCCAAAACCTTTCAAATTTCTCAAAATTTGGTGTCTGCAAGATGATGTGGATAAAGTTGTGGCCAAGGCTTGGGAGGCTGTAGGTTCAGGTAATCCTATACATGTGTTGCAACAGAAATTAAGGGCTGTGAAGGCTGCGGTTAAAGAATGGAACAAGTCTAGGGGTACTGTTTCAGACCAACTCCAAGGAGCCAGGGATGAATTGGACAAAGTTCAAATGGAGATGCTTCAGAATCCAGCCAATCAAGATAGTATTAATAGAGAAAGGGAAGCTAGTGGTAAGCTGCAGCATGTTCTTGATCTTGAAGAAATCATGTGGGCTCAAAAATCCAGGGTTAAATGGATTAAAGAAGGGGATAAATGTACTGCTTTTTTCCATAACATGGTCAAACAATGAAGAGGCTTGAATGCTATTACTCAATTGGAAAATGTCACAGGGGAGTGCTCTGCTGATCCTAAGACTATTAGAGACTGACTGGTTCAATTTTAGTCTGACTTATACAAGCAACAAGGGGATATGCTCTGCAGGATCGTACTCCTCCTAGGAACGTTCTGAGCCAAGAAGTGTGGTAGCTTGGATTGTGCTGTTTCTGCAGAGGAAATCAAGGGTGTGGTTATGAGATTTCATCCAGATGGATTCCCTGCTAGGTTTTTTCAACAGTTTTGGGGAGTGGAAGGACCTGATATTATCAATGTTGTTTCCCACTTCTTTAATACCAACCAGTTCCCTCAAGGTATCAATTCAACCTTTCTAACTCTTATTCCTAAAATGAATCATGGAGACAAGATTTCAAACTATAGGCCTATAGCTTTATGCAATCTAGTATGTAAAATTATATCCAAGATTCTGGCAAACAGATTGAGTGGAGTTCTTCCTAGTCTCATTGGACCTGAGCATTCAACTTTTATCAAGCACAGAAGACTACATGACAATATCTTGTTGGTAACTGACTTGGTTAAGGACTCTGGTAAGAAATATGGGGATCCATCTATGACTTTGAAGGTTGATTTGAAGAAAGCCTATGATTCAGTTGATTGGGGATTTATTCTAAGGAGGCTGCAGGCTCATGGTTTCAGTAAAAAGTGGATTAGCTGGATTACAAAATGCATTTCTACTCCCAAGTTTTTTGTTTTGTGCAATGGGGTACCTGCAGGCTATTTCTCTGCTTCTAGAGGGATTAGACAAGGGCGTCCATTATCTCCTCTGCTATTCTCTTTTGTCACTGAATATTGCAGTACTTTAATGACAAATGCTATTGAGATGGGGACGGTTAAGTTATACAAGGCTGTGACAAAATCAGGGATGCAGATTTCTCATGCATTCTATGCAGATGATCTTCTTATGATGGTTAAAGCTGAGATTCCTTATGCTAAAGCAATTGCTGAAGTGTTCAAGAAGTTCAAGGCTGTCACTGGATTGCAGGTTAATCAAGACAAGAGCTCCATTATTTTTTCTAAGTCAATTAGAGGTAGAAGAAGACTGTCTTCTATTATGCATTTCCAAACAGAAAAATTCCCATTCAAATATCTTGGTCTGCCTCTTTCAAATTACAGTTTAAGGATAGGAGACAACAGGATGTTGTTGGATAAAGTAAATGCTAGATTGGCTTACTGGAATACTATCAACTTGTCCTTAGCAGGGAGAATAAAATTGATTAAATCAGTCCTATATTCCTATTTATATCACTGGCTGTTTGGGTTTAAAGTCCCTTGGGAGGTCAAAATTCAGTTGGAAAAGAGGTTTAAGCAGTTTCTATGGAGTGGCAAGCAAGATGTGAAGAAGATGTCTCAAATTAAATGGAGTCAAGTAACCTTACCTGTGGCTGAGGGGGGTTTTAATATCAGCCTATCAGGAGAATTGAAGATATTGACTGTGCTGCAAAGATGACATTGTGTTGGGATTTTGTGCAGAAGAAAGACAAGCTATGGATTCAGTGGTTAAATGCAATTTATTTAAGTAGATCCTCCTTTTGGACTGTTGTCCCAAAGATTGGTGATTCACCAATTTGGAAACAAATTTTGTTAGTTAGACATCTACCCTTGGAAAATTCAGATTTCAAGATTGGAGATGGTTTGAAGTTTAAGCTGCTGACTAATCCTTGGTGTGGAAATCAATCTTTGATTCAGAAGTTTGGGTTTAAACAGATGGACAGAAATGCTCTTGTGGCTTCCATCATTGATAATGGAATCTGGTATGGTGCATTTTCCTTGAAAGCTGCTTGGAGTGCTTGGAGATCAAAAAGGCAGATTTTGCAATGGAACTGCTTATGTTGGAGATATTGCAGACCTAGGATTGCAGTGTGTCAGCATCATTCTTCATAACAAGAACCTTTCATTTGTGAATGTACAGAAACGTGGACTGACATTAACTCCCATCTGTCACAATTGTTTGGCTAATGCAGAAACAAATGATCATCTCTTCTGCACATGTGAATATGCCAATGCTATTTGGATTGACCTGTTCAGCTTGCTTCAACTGGAACTACCTAGGTTTACTACTGTCATACAGATTGCTGATTGGTTTGTGTTACAAATTGTCATCAAGTCTACCAAGTCCAAGATTTTGAGTGCTTTGTTTTCAGTCACCATATGGAAGATTTGGACTATGCGTAATTCAGCTCTTCATAATGGAATTAAAGATCACCCTTCCTATGCTGTCCAAGCTATTATTTGGGATGTGCTGGCATACCTCAATATTAGATTAGAAGATATTTTAACTGTTTTTTCTTCTTGATGATGTGTTTGGTGTTTTTTAGCATCTACTGGAAATGGGCTTATTCTAGCCTATGAGTTATAAAAGGAGGTATACCTCCTTATGCTTTTGTAATGTCTGTATTTATTTATAAAATCATCCCATTCAGGAAAAAAAAAAATATATATATATATATATATATATTATTGCAATCATAGCCTCACAAGTCACTGTGGTATCTGAACAGATCCATGCGTTCAGACGTTTCATTATTCACAGCAATCCCTTGTTTAACAAACATAAATTTTTGCATTCATTTGATACAGTTTGTTTTTGTTTAATAAGAATGATCAAATTTTCAAACTAAATCCAAGAGACAGTTATGTTTTCATCCTAATAATTGGAAAAGTGCCCAAAGGCGGTGATACAAGAGGTTTTTTGCTTTGTGTAAGGGTTGGCTATTGTAAATTTGTCTTCCAAAATGAAACATTTCAGCACCTCACAACATATCATAATTACTTCATTTAGTTGTAGAAGCTAAGGGGGAAGCCAACTCATAATCATATGCATAAATAAAATCTCTTAAAGAAAATGCATAAAATAGTTAAGGTATAGCTAAATCTGTGGCATACACAGGACATTTTTATAGGAATTTTGTTCTCTTAATTAATTAACAAATGAAAGAGCAAAGGAAACAAATACAAAAGCCAGCATGTACCTGTAAAGTGAGGAAGATGGCGGACTCCATGAGAATTCTAGTGGAAGAAGAATCAATGTTGGAACGAGACGACACACCTATCAAAAATTTGTGGAAGGAACGGAAAGCCACTGCAGTTTCAGTGCTCCAAGGAGGCAACCATTTGAAAGCAGATACTGAGACGAGACCATCTTTGAAGAGCTTCACTGCAGATAATCCAGAACCTGTGTCCTGATCCAATGCACTGTTTGCATCTGCCAATCTAGAGTTATCAAGCAAAATTGAACAATAGGCAAGCAAGTCAAGTTTCAACGACTTCAACGCAAGGGAATCAAATACTGTTGGGTAAAAGCTCAAGCTCATTTGGATTATTGCTTTCTTTTTTCTTACATCTCTATTTGATAGTAATCCAATGAAACCAACCAGCCAGTGAAGCGATAGCAATTGAAAAACCAAATGATGCTGGGATTCTCTTGATATTAGCACAAGACGGTGCGCAACTTCACGTTCTTGCCCATCAAACGCATCCAAGTATTGTGAATACATCAATAAAAAAGCATGGCATAGCAGCGGATCATACGAATAAAGAAGGCCAGAGAACTGTACCTTCAACAACGATGCCTGCAACTCCAAAACCACTGCAACCGGCATTATCATGGACATGAACTCCATCAACCCAGCAGGAGTCAAACACTGCAGCCATTCAAGCAAGAAAGCCATAGCCCTCCTCAGCTCCTTATAACTGGAACCTGAAATCTCCTTATTCAACCCACCACCGTCACCAATCAAAAATTGGGGAACATTGAATGGAACCAAAGGGACGGACGTGTTGAGTATGGAAACATTCACCTTCGACATCACTATACTGTGAATTACACCAGACAGCAATAGAACATAGCTCTGGAAGGCATGCGTCCGCTCGCTTTGGCACAGTCCCCAGAAATGCCCCGCGATTTCGGAAAGCAAGCAAGGGCAAGCTCTCTCTAGCTCTCGTAAGCACTCACAGGCCACCGCCCTGGTCTGTCGGTCCATCCCGTGATTTGGCCGATTTATAACTGTCAACAACAATTCCGTCAAGCTCTCCAGATGGCGTACATAAAGCACCTCATCATCAACAATTGCATTTCCAATGAATATTGCGGTTGCCGAAACCATCATTTGCTCTTTGAGAGAGTATGTGACAGAGACATTGTCAATTGGAGCTTGGACTAGCACGCGGAGGGTCTCGACAAGCCGATTCAAGGCTTGTTCGGCCTCTTCCGCTCGGAAGGGTAAGTCTGAGAAAGACTCCTCCAGGAAAACGATGAGATGGAGTTTGAGATTCAGAGGGAAGTCCTTTCTGAGAAGTGACGAAAGAGAGAGCTCGAGGAGAGAGACACCCGTGTAGTGTGCGACGGTCCATCTCTCGTGACGTGCACCTCCGTACTGGAAATCGTCGATGAGAGCCTCCCATTCTTGGGGTGACAAAGGTTTCAGTGGTGACGGCTTCTCCATCAGCTTTCTAATTTTTCATGAAGCTTCCTTAATCATAAATCTTCATCGATATTCAATAACAGCAACTTTATACTAATCATAAATCTTCATTGATATTCAATAACAGCAACATAATAGAGTTATAGAGTTATGCAGGACAACTAATTTTTGTTTTCGAAATTTACATTGCTCCTAGAGTTCTAGCCCGTTAGGAGCAATTTTGGAAAAAGAGAAAAAGAAATCCAACCCTAAACAGGAGAAGTCGAAAACTTTTTACGGATTTGGGGCTAACAAATTATTATTATTTTTATTTAATTTTTAAATCAGAAAGGCAACTACTATTACCCTTTCGCTAAGGAAAAGAAAATAACACCCAACTCAGGTTTACAAATTTACTCTCCATTACCCCCTTTTTCTTTTCTTGTGTTTTTTGTTTAACCTTGACAATAAACCAGGGCAGAGACTTAGAAAATTTGGTTTGGGGTAATTTATAAATCATTTGTAATATTTTTTTATAGCATTAATCTTATCTAAGTCACATATATCGGGCGGAAGCCGACAGCAAATTCAATCGGAGGCGGAAGCCGACAGCAAATTCGAGTGTGGAAGTGTGAAAGTCGCAAAATTTAAGTCACAGAATAAGAACGGGAGCGACAATGCGTGTGAAGCGGGAGTATTTGAAACGTGAGAATTGCACATATTGAGAAAAATTGTGTGATTTCGATTCTTATTGATATATTGAGAAAATACAATCTAGAAAATATGAAAAAACAAATTAAAAAAATAAGAATAATAATAACAATAATAATAATAATTGAGAGGAAGCCATAAGATAAAAAAAGAGGTAAAGGGAAAAAAACATTGTTCAACATTTGTTTCAATTTTTAAAACATAGTTCAAGAGTTAAATTAATTACTTTGTTTCCACTTCACAAAAATGCATCAGTGTTACCTTGATGAAATATTAAGAGAAAAATGTAACACTTTAACTATATAAAATTTCACAAACAGAGCAAAACACTATAACTTGGTACATAGGATATGAGGTCATTTTTGAAGGATTTGTGTCCATACCATTGAGGATCACATGATTTGTTGAGTGAGTGTGATGTTCGTTTTATGGATATTATTTTATGTTTTGAGGTCTTTTGTAGAGGAATGTATTGAAATGATCGATTTTGGATATGGTCTGTATCATGGAATTTTCTCGTTTAAGTTCATGGCTCAACGTGGTTTTGAGTAGGGGTGTAACTTGGGTTGGGCAACCTAAACCCAACCCGAGCCCGCCCGATTTTTCGTGAATTTGGACAATTATTTTTACAAATAGTGTTGGGTCTGGGTTGAAAAATCTCAACCCAAATTTAATTAGGGTTAGGCTTGGATTGAGGTACTAACAACCCGAACAAACCAGAACCCGAATTCTAATATTATTTTCATATATATATTTAATTTTAAATACATTATATATAATATTTAAACTTCGATTACCTTTTTTCTTTTCAACTTCATTTGTTAAATCTCAACTTATTGTATGTTAAGATTTAAGAAAATTAATTTTTTTAAAATTTGTTTGTAATTTATTAAAAATTTATAAAATGTCTTTAAATTTTTTTTTTATTATTTAAGAGTAATTTAATCTAAAACTAATACAAGATTATATTAAATTTTTGGTGCGAACATTAGCTATAAAGTAACTCAAATTCACCCCAATTTTTAACATGGAATTTAAGCCCGAATTTAAAAGTAGAAGGATGGGTTGGGCTCGGATTGAGTAGTTAAGGTTGAAGATATGGTTGGGTTGAGCTTGGATTTAGCATTTCATATGGTGGGTTAGGCTCAAGTTATACCTCAAACCCGCCCAATCCGCCCGAGTTGCAACCTTAGTTTTGAGGGACCGTGACCATAATTATTACTTAATTGAATGATTACGAGGGTTAGAGTTATGTAGAATAGTATATTGAGGTTCTTGTTTTGGTTTGGCATACCAGTTGCAATCTTGAAAGATTCGAATTATGATTGTTGTTTAATGGATGAACGGTTTCCTGTTTCGTAGAGAGATATGTGACATATTTTTTTGTTGATATTCTTGACATGATGATTGTGTTTGAAATATTGTCGAGGTTTTGATATAATGATCGAGCAATAATGAGTCTTTAAGGTCACTCTGAGGCTTTGATGTGTGACATTCGGTTGGTGACTGTGTGAGAGTGACATTTGGAAATTTAGATCTGAGGACTAGAACGATATGATAATTAAGGTTGGATTGATATGGAAAGAAATGGCTTGCAGGCATTTCTTCTTGGATCAATTCCGTTTTAATAGAGTCAAGGATCAATGATTGTTTCATTCGAGTAATGATTGTGAGAGTAAGGGGTTGAGTGTCGTGATGGTTTGATTTAAATGGTTCTCTTTTGGAGAAGGTTGTGTTTTCATGGATTTGGGTTTTTTATTAAGGATATTGATAAACGCTGAATATTGCATATTCGAACCCTTAAACGTGCATAAGTTAATGTCTTAGTGATGCTTTTATCTCTGTTCTTATGTTTGTTTTCATTTATTTACTTCTTGTAGGTCTTTACCCAAAAATGTGGACAATTCAATGTATTTAGAGCTTATGGTGATGTTTTCGATGCTTAAGGAGATGTTCTGGGCCTTTTGTGTCAATTTGGGACTCAATCGGGCAAATTTGCAAGAATTTAGGCCCCAGAGCTCGAGCACAACTTTTTGTACTCGAACACAAATCAAAAAATCAGAAGAAAAAAAACCTAAGTGTTGGATGAAAAGACGCTTCAAAAATTTCAAAGAAAAAAAAAAGGCTAAATATGGAAACAGAGCTCGAGCACAAGCATTTATTGTGATACCCCTCGATTTCGAAACACGGGTTGATCAAGTTCGCGCACAAAACCGAGGGATATCAAATAATTAATAATAGACAAGCACGGAATACAAAAGGATACATAAAGAATAAATAAATAAAGTTGAAAGGAAATAATAAATAAATAATTTAAATCCTCCAAATGAAATCCAATAATAATAATAACCTCTGATACCAATAATCCTCTAGAATACAACTCGGGAATCCATACTATGTGGACCTCTAATCAATTCCCAACTAAAAATAAATAATAATAAAAATTGTCTAAACTGAATACTAATCATAAAATAGAATCCTACGTAGATAATCGGGAGACTGATGATGACTGATCTCTACTCTGCACAAACAAGGTCTACACTTACTATTGACGATGACCTGAAAAATAAATGGTGGGTTAGGCTCACAAATAAGTCATTTCTACTACACCTCATAGAGACCTAAAGAACGAATACGTCATAGTCAACTCATGCAATCGCTACATAGTCAATATATACATATAGATACTCTCACTGGACTACAGGGTTGAACACATAATCCTCTATATCCAGCTATGCATCCCCAAGGCAATATACGTTTCCTAACCACTGATCCTAAGATCTCAAGCTCATATTGTGGCACATATCCATATATATAAATCTATATCATATCCAAAGCATAAAATAAACTATTTGACATAGTCTTTCAATGTCATGTCATCCACATATGAATCTATGACCTGACACGAAGAATGAGACTAAGCATATTAGTCAGATCATCTATAATATGCCAACATATCCTAACAATGGTGCATAAATCCAATAAATGATGCAAGCATATAAGTACATCAAATAAACCAGAAATAAACATGTTAATAATCATACAAATATCCATTGCATTTATTTAAGCATTATAAACACCAATTAAACAACTTGTAAGTCATTTAAATTCCATTATGTGTCAATCCTTAGCATATTAATGTATTTTATGCATTTTGAAAATTTTCCAAATCCATTTAGCCCATTTAAATTAATTAAAATAGGCTACAATAATTTCTGGGAACCCATAACGTAAATCCCAAGTCTCACCCTAACTAAGCCAACTTCTTCTCAGAAGAAGTTAACTCAGTTTCTAACTGAGTCGACTCATTCTCAAACGAGTTGACTTCTTCTCCAATCAAGTCGACTAAGTTCCAACTGAGTCGACTTCTTCAGCAATTGAATCGACTTTGTTGGAACTAAGTTGACTCGCTCCTGTTGCGAGTCGTCTCCAACTAAGTCGACTTCTTCAGCAATTAAATCAATTTAGTTGGAACTAAGTTGATTCGCTCCTACTGCGAGTCGTTTTCTCCATCTCCGGCCATTGTAATTCGCATGTAACTCCTCCGTTAAGGGTCCTAACCATCCATCATTCTACCAAACACCAATAGCTGACAATCCTCTACCTTTGCAACGTCCTGTCCAACAGTAACTTGACCTCAAGTTTATGCTTGATCTTTGTAGAAGAGTAGCAGGTAGATCAGACAACACTCCTCAAATGTCTAAACCCTTTCAAAGTATGATCACTTTTACTTCTGTTCTTCAATATCTGAATTTGATATAAAAGTAGATCTGCTTTATTCTGATCGATGTAGATGCAACTGTATGATCATGATCAAGATTTGAACAACACAACTCTAAAATCACTATGTGAATATGTGTGTGTTCTAGAAAGACTAACAAAAAAATCTCTAAGACTTTCTGAAACAATAATCTTCCTAAGGCTTTTAAGAATAATAAATTGATAGTGCAGAAGCCATTCATAAACCTAGATGACTAACAAGGTTTATATAGAGTTTAGAATGTCCTAATCCCTCTGAAAATATAGAAAAATTTGTGCATAGGACATGGTACGCTTATAAAAGAACTAAGAAAGAAATTAGGAAAAGGAAACTGAAACTGAACTGTGGACAAGACTTCTTGAACCGGTTCAAGATTGGACGATTTAATTTCGAGGCCAATCTTGAGCCCTTGAACCGATTCAAGGAGGCTAAACCGGTTTAAGCCCTGTAGACTGGAATCTTCGGGCCAGTTTTGGTAAAAACCCTATTTTGGAAACCTCTGAAAATTATACCAAATATGGAATATGTCATAACCTCTTTAGAATTCTTCCTAATATGTTGTTCTTACTTTTTTCTTCGAATGTTCTTCAATTATGGCAACTTCGAAAAACTTTCCAATTCTGCAGTTGCTGTCGATTCCAATATAGTAACTTTGAATTACAACTCGACAATGACTTATTTTGTTTATGATAATTGCCAATTATAAAATAATATCTCACAAAAATCAAGCTTAAACAACAAATCATGCATCAAATCTCAAGATAATATAAATCAAGAACATATACATATATAGACATATAACCTCTGTTTT